CTTTTATCTTCAGCTTTGGAATTCAGGAATTTCACTTAGAATGGCCACACTGACTCTTGATGAGTATAAAATGACAGATGAGGTGGAAGTAGGCATACTGATATGCAATGCTCTAGCTACAGGGTCCTCCATCTACAACCATCAGAACAGGCCTCGTCACTCCAGGATGGAGACCTGGGGGAGCTCACACACAAAAGGAGCAGACTTTGCATAAGCTATCCTATTTTAACACCCTCACCCAGTTTTGAGAGTGGGAATCAGCAATGTCTTCAAGAAGTTGGCAAATTTCAAGTCCTGGTATCAAAGTACCTAATAATGCACAATGCAAACAACAATTTAACTATAATTCAACTCATTGTTCTGAATTAGCTGCACCAGCTTCAGGCAAAAAACATTTGTTCAGTGAGCAGAAGCAGTTCAAAGATGGATAAATAAAATTTAAACTATACTGAGGACAGGATATAAAACGTAGTGAGCACATAACACTAAAATTATTGAAAGCCTTTTTGTGACTACTGCCTTCCGTTTTGATCACCTCAACTCATAAAGGACTAACAAAATACTTTCAAGCAGAGAGTATAATAGTCTTCGGCATTACAGAATACTAGAAATAGTGTTACTTAGTTGAGAGAAGCCTTCTAAAAGACAAAGTTGATTCAAAGTAAATAATTGGTAGTTTAAGAAAACTAATTTTCTAGTTAATTAAAAGGATTCTAAATGGAATTAAATCAAAAAACAGTTCCTTTAAAAATAAAGTTTTTATATAAATTATCTATCATGTACTATAGAAGATTAAAAGCCAATAATTATGGAGTACTTTTTGAGGGTTATATATAGTTGCTACAGCAACAATTTTTCAAAAAGGTTTATCAATGTATAAGCTAATAATGTAATCACTTTTCTGATGCTCATGGTAAAAACAGACAAAAACCTCAAATATGTGTTTCTACCCCAAATTTCATTGGCATACATATTTTAACAATAGTATTTCCTCTAATTCAAATTACCCAACTTTTCCTATAATATTCTCAATTCTCACACACACACAAGAAAATGTATTCATTTACATTGTCCCAGCTTGTCAATAAACTCATTCTGTAATCTAACAAYACCAAACATTTATTTGGCATTTGCCACTTATATTAAAAATAAGAACATTCTGACTCCACTCAAGTATTAATAGGTTTCATCCTCTATTTCTCAACCATTTTAATAGCTTGTCGTGACATTCTTAGAGAAAATGCACTTTAAAAAAAATGTATTATCTGTGACTCAACCACAATGACTCTCTATTAAAGCCATTACCAAACCAATACTACTATGGGGAAAAAAAAGAGAATGTTTAAATGCAGTTCTTATCAGTACTATAGCTGAGCTTTAAAGAATGCTAAATATGAAAAGATAAATTTGTCCTTATTAATACAGATGAGTCAACCTGGAATGAAAAAAATCACCTAGCTGATTTATTGGTTGCCCCTCCTACTCCTTCACTTTCTTTTCCAGCATTTTTCCCTGTTGGAATTAGAGAAGCCCCAAGTGAACCATATGCTAAGAACCTATACACAATCAAAGAAGAAGAAACTTCTGGGGTAGGCACAGAGACAGTGAAATCCATGTCTCTACTCCAGATTTTGCATTTTCTTTAAGAACAATCCACCAGATAATTGGGATGCAAGCATATAAACAGGGTGAGTTTTAAGAACCACATACTCAAGTGCAAAGACATGGCTGCCAAATTCTTCCCTCCCAGGAAATATTTTATAAATAGCAGATAATGAATTCTTTAGACAAAAAGTCTCTAACAAGCCCATGATAGACGTGATTAGTGTTTAACTTCTCTCTCTTCCCAGATAAGAGGTTAACTCAGAAATCCTGGCTTGATAACTCCCAAGCTCCAGAGAAGCAGTAAGAAAGATTTCAAGTAATGAGGCTTGTATACCTTGCCTAAAGGGGGAGGAGTAATTCTGAAAAATAATTGTGAAAGACTCCCCAGACTTCCATTTCCACCATTATGACAGACCCCACACCCTGAAGACTCCCTCCTGTTTGGAACAACTAAAATTCTGGATACAATATTTGAAACACATTTTGTAAAAAGGTTTGCCAAGTTGGCAGAGAAACCATCTGTAGATGCCAAAAATTAAAAGTAAATGTGAGGTTCATGAATGCCACAGGGACTCTCTACTACAAAGAGTTCTGCCAAGTGCTGAACTGTCTAATTCCCCTCTTGGTGGCCTCTCAGAGCACCAGAGGACATTCAAGCCTGAGGCTCACTGTGGTGGTCAGTTTCATAGATGAGTTTCAAGTTTCTAGGAAAAGCTGGAATTCCAAAGGGCACTCATCCTCTCTTTAAAAAGTCACCAAAAACTATGAAAAGGAATGTATTCCTCTTGCCAGTGTAACCACATACTTAGTTTTGCTTATAATACAAATTCATTCTCTTACAAGTCTAAAGGCCAGAAATCTAAAGTTAAAATATTGGCAAGGCTGAATTCTACCCAGAAGCTCTAGGGGATAATCTGTGGCCTTGCTTGCTATGAACTGACATGTATTCCTCCCGCCCCCCCCCCCAATGGTGACCGTATTTAGAGATAACGTCTTTAGTATACAAGTAGGTTAAGCAAGGTCATAAGGATGGGCCCTTCCTTATCTTCACAAGAAGAGGAAGAGGCAAAGGCAAGACCCATGTGCAAGAAGCCCCGTCTGAAGACAGCCAGGAACATGGCCGTGTGCAAGCCAAGAAAAGGACCTCTACCTGAAACTGACCATGCTGACACCTTAATCTTGAGAATTCTAGTCTTCAACACTATGAGGATATGAATTTATGGCAACCCAAGTTGTCTAAGAAGTTGCTTTACTCAACTTCTGGAGAACTACTGTATACCTTAGCTCGTGGTCTATTCCTCACATAACTTCAAACTCCTGCATCCCTCATATAAGGACCCTTGCGATTATCCTGGGCCCACCCAGATAACCTGGGATAAGATCAAGATCCTTAAAAAGATCATATACAATATCCCTTTGCCATGTAAGGTAACATTAATATGTTTTAGGGATTAGAATATGGGGCTTGAGGATATTATTTAGCTTACCACAAGGTATCAAATAAGAAATTGGCTGGTTGTGACAGAACTATGTAAGATGGTGGAAATTAAAAACATTAATCAATCACTCATACAAAAAAAAAAAAAACTTACTTCTCTAATTGAACTACCAAGATTGCCATCTTGCATTAACAAAACTCAATTAGTATAGTACAAGTACTGACCAACCCAAATGGATCTACCATTCACACCATTCACAACCATGTGGAATTACACCGTCAGCCCTGCTTCCAGCCACATGCTCTTAAGTCACACCTAAAACAGACACATAAATGTTGACAATAAAAAAAAAATAAAGTGGAAGAAAATACACTAAATTAGTCAGCTGGTAAGAGATGAGATAAAATAGATTTTAAGACAAAAAAAAATCATTACCATAGCTATAGTGTCACTATGTAATCAAAGTTACAAGGTTGAGATTTTAATGTTTGCATTTCATTTCTTGCTCTTYGCTGCATCAAAGCAGTTCATCTTAGACAGATCCTACTGCTGTTGGTAGTTTGGCCAAAGACATGTGGGGCTTAGGGGAAAAAAAACACCTATTGATTTGTTGATATACCTGTGGGTATTGCCACTTATAAACTAAACAGACAAACAAGAATAATAAGAGGAGTTCAGGGAAATTTTTAAAATCAAGCTGCCATCATGTTCGTGTTGCACTCATTTTTAAATTACTTGTTTCCTACTTCACTGTCAGTTCAACTTTTCCCATAGCTGCAGCATTTCATTTGCCCCTCACTAAGTTTCTGCCTTTCTGCAGTATCATGCCAAGCTCTATGAGTTATTAGTTTGATCACAATGTGTTCCTAGTGGTAGGATTTGAGGCAGAGAGTCTAAAAGTTATTGGTCCTATTGAATCAGGTATCTTTGCTCCACAATTCATATGCCTGCCAAATGAAAAACTACAACACATTGTATTCTGCCYTAAATAATTAGCTAAAGATAAATTGAAATCTAAGAACTGGAAAGCAAAGAACAATTTACCCTGCTTACAGTTTCAATAAAGAGTAAAAATGTTTGTGTAGATGCCAGAAATTATACTGTATGTTTTATTGTAATGTAAGCAGCCAAGCCTGGGTAGTTAACATAATAAAGGAAAAAGAATAAATCCCTGTCCTGTTATTATCTTTCAGATCCTAGAGATCTGCAAAAATTGTATGGGGGAAGAACATCAGTCAAATGACTTCTCTGAGGAAATACTAATGGTCAAGAAGTTTTGGGAAGCTCTCGAACCATCTCGTTCCTATTGTTTTCTACATCAATCACATATAACAGGCCAAACTTAAACTCATTTCATTTTTCAAGTGTAACAAAGTACAATGGTTTCTTTTAACTTTTTGAATTATCATCCTGAATGAAACAACTTTTTTAAAACTTCTTTTGTAAACAACCCTTGTTTCACTTTTTGAGGATGAGTATTAGAAAAAACAGGCAATGTACCAATTAATCTTTAACAGCAGAGCAAATCAGTGGAATGGAGGTAGAAAGGCAATGAGCAGCAGCAGAGGGGGGCACAAAAACTTGATTGTGGTAATGGTTTCACAGGTGTTCCTATGTCCAAACTTCCAATGGCACACTTGGTATGTATGCAGTTTATTGCATGTCAATTATGCCACCATAAAGTTGTTTTTTTTTAAAGAATAATAGAATTAGAAATGTACTTTTTATTCACTAACAAAATGATACATCAAACAATGACCATTAAAGGAAGACTTCAGTATCTTCAGTATCTGAAACTACTCAACTTCAGCATCACCAAAAGTGGGACAATCAGACCCTGTGGCCTCTTTAGGAAACACCTGGTATCATCTGACTATTCTTAAAAAAAAAAAAAAAAAGAATCTAAATATAATCAAGCCTCTACACTAGAGCTCTTTCATTTGTGAAATAGAAAAACAAGTTAAATGCCAGAAGGACAGAGACAAATCCAGAATATGGCACATTCTACACAATGTGACCTAGTTTCTGCACAGATCAAAGTCATGAAAAGAAGAGGCCACAAGAGTCTGCTCTAGATTCAACACAAATGGTAAGGGATTTTAAGTGCAACCGTGGAATTTATGTGAAGCTAGCAAGTCGTGTAAAGGCCCGGATTGCCCAGTCTTCAGGATAGCTTAAACCGTTGCTCATTTTGTTAAGTGTGCTATATATAATGTTGTGGTAATAAACTGCCCTCATTGAGATGCATTTAGAAAATCTGGGATTTCCTTTAACATACTTCCAAAGTGTTGGGTTTTTGTTTTGCTCTGTTTTGTTTTAAAGGAAAACCAAAACAAAATGAAGAGTAAATGTGACAGTATTAATGATCTTGATAGATCTACTAAGGCTGCCTTAATGGATTTGAATTTTTTTTTGAGAGAATGAATTTTAATATTTATTTTTTAGTTCTCGGCAGACACAACATCTTTTTTATTTGTATGTGGTGCTGAGGATCGAACCCAGGCCACACRCATGCCAGGCGAGCACGATACCGCTTGAGCCACATCCTCAGCCCGGATTTGAATTCTTAATATTACTTTTGTGCATGCGTTTGAAATGGCAAGTTGTATTGAAATTGATTTCTTCATGAAACTGAGAATTCAGCATTAGGTAACTATCTGAAAGCATACATAAATACATAAATATATAGCCCACTAATTTACTGTGTTGAAATTTTGACCAACTTACTATATAAGAATACTTATATTGTCATTACTATATCCAATTGGTGTGCCTATCTCAACAAATTTACAATGTGAGCACAGAATGTGGATTTTTAGAAGCTTGAGTAATCCTTGCACATAGCAAAAAGTATACTATCTCAAAAAAACTGGAATTTCAAAACTGGAGACTATCACTCTAAGTGAAATAAGACAAGTGGGGAGGGAGAGAAAAATAGAAGTTCACTGGATTAGACAAAAGGGAATGAAGGGAAGGAAGGGGGGATAGGAATAGAAAGACAGCAGAATGAACTGGACATAGTTTCCTACATTCATATGTGAATACATAACCAGTGTAACTCCACATCATGTACAACCACAAAAAATGGGAAGTTAATTTCATGTATGTTTGATATGTCAAAACACATTCTACAGTCATGTATAACTAAAAAGAAAAGTTTTTTTTTTAATTTCCTTAATAAATTGGCAATGATTCCCCCAAAAAATGAACTTCTTGATTGTCAATAGTAACATCTGCTCCCAGTTTCCAAATTCCTACTGGATGCCACACACTGTTCTAGGCCCATTACAAGTATTATTTCCAATTCATTCTACAATCTTAAACATTACTATTATCACCATGTTATAGCAGTGAAAAGTGAGGCTCAGAAAAAAAAAAAAAAACTTGCTCAAGGGCACAGTTTTCAGGTTTCTCCAATATAAAGACCAGAATGTTCCAGAGTAAGCATTCTAAAAACTTTCATGTGCACATGTTGATTTTACAGATTAGGATTCTTTCCAAATAAAGATGACCAATATGCAGACATCATTGTAAGAACATCAATTCATTTCAATATGTTTTAACATTTGTCCAAAATATTCATGGGCAGCAGCAAAAAGGTCTGGAAAGGACAGTGCAGTATTTGTGAGGGATCTTTTTAACCAGGTTTGCCAGGATTCAAACTCCAACCCACTACTTGCGACCTAAGACCTTCAGCAAGTCAATTAATCTCAGTCTCGGTTTGACAGTACTGTGATGTAAACCAACGTTATTGCAAGGATGAAATAAAATGAGAGAAGCTTGTAATACCTGGGACATAGCTGGCATTCTAAATGTTAGCATCCTTCCTGTCCATCTTTTACGATTTGTTCATGAAAGAACAATCCCAATGCTGACCTTCATCACTATTAGCCAAAGCAAACATGTATTGTACAATATATTACTTTTTTTGGCCCAAGGCATGGTGGCCCTAAATGTCTCCATATAAAATTCTATGCTTTAACCTAAGCATGATATACAAGTCAGGGTTAGACTGTTATTCTCAAGAGTTGCTGGCTATGGACAGAAACATACCTTCCACAAATGTCACTTTGGCAGCTGTGTTAGGAAAGACTGTGACATCTGCCCTATTTGGAATTGCCTTGTGCTCTACCCCAGCAGCAAAGCCTTTGGCCRAGTCAAACTGCCACACATAGGTTATATCCAATGAGAGAAAACATAATCTAAAAAATTAAAATCTGATGCTACTTGGAGGAACACTTTAAAAATAATAACTACTTTTAAACATGCTACAATATTGTTAGGGTCAAAGTCTGGTATCCTAAGACTTCTAAATGTTTTTTAGTTGATATTCAGATCATATCCCTGTCCATTGAAAAAATATTCTTGAGGCAGAGATACACCACTTTGATTGTTAGCACCAGAAAGAAAATTAAGATATATCTTCATAGAAAAAAATATCTGTGAGCTGTATTTAGTAGTAACCTACTATGWTGCTCAATTTGGTCAAAGAGTTAAAAGTAAATCACTTTAAAATAAATCTAGGACAGCTACTTCTCTCATCTCTAAAGTAGTGCTCATGTTCAAAAGATACTAAATTTTCTACTTTTAATTAGTTGCCATTTTGAAGTCAACCTCTAAACAGCATAAAAGGGATCAGCTCACAGGAAACCAAGAGTGACAAAAATCAAGACTTGTGAAACACAAATGCCACCTTTCTCACTTTTAAAATTCTGAGTCCTTGCTGTMATTTTTGGAATGGTAGGCAGACAGATGAAAGACAATTACAAATTCCCCCTCCTTYTTCATGAAGTTTCTCCATTTTCACAGCTCCAATAAGCTGACCAGAGGTTTAGCATAGGAATATTAAGACCTGCTATATGTACTGAGTAGATCTTAGGAGTTCTTTAAAGAATGCTCGAGAGACTTGGATATATTATATAGCTCCAACAGCTGCCAATACTTATATTTGAAGCCATTACTCACTGGGGATTTAAACAAATCAAGAAGATGGGGAAACTTCCTGAATTTCAGACAATGCAGGATAAAAAGTGTATATGGCATATAGACTGATACCCTAGAGGAGTTGAAGCTCCTAGGGACTTTCATAGACGTAGAAAATAAAAACGGATCACAGGTAGGACCCAAGTTCTGCACAGCAGCAAGCAATATTGAGACAAGAATACAGAACCAGAATCATTAAATATATTCGGGGCAAATTTTTTGCAAACCATGTTTGATGAAGAAAGGGAACTTTAAAGAACTGTCATGATTTATTCATTCCCTGAAATAGTGGTTGTCAACTTCTATGTATGTAAAATTCATAATGGATTCATAATACAAATTTTGAAACTTGGAAGCCAACCTAAGAGGCCCTGCTTTAGTAGACCTTGTAAAGGACCCTGGGAACCTGAATTTTTAATAGGCACTGCAAGTAATTATAATGAACATGATCTGAGAATTCTATTGTCAAAACAGGACAAAAAAGAACAAAAAACACAAAACAACTCTCTGAAACTGAAGTAAAGACAAAATCCTAAATTTCAAATAAAAGTGGAAGAGCTACCAAAAACAATAGTGATCAAATAATAGGTTTGAAGAAGTGGGATGAAGACAGCAAGGGTAGAATTCAGAGAAAGATGTAACAGTCCACAGCTTGAAACTGGAGGATGGACACTGAGGTGCAAAATCTCAAGTCCCTTTTTGCAAAAGAGTATCAGGCTGTACAAGTAAGCACAAGAGCTTAGCTAGACAAGATGTGGCTCTGAGAAGCTAAGATGGTAGGTCCCTTACTTTCTAAGTAGTAGTGGATACTAGGGGAAAAGACAAACTTTCAATAGTAGTGAAAAATTCACCAACTGCCTAATTGACTTGAAAAACATTTCAACAAACTCACACAAAAATATGTAAGAAATGTCTAGAATACAGTCTTGACTCCTGTCCAACCTGATCATCCTCCAAAAGCTAGCATGGGATATAGTCACCTCTTTCCAAGATGATAAAGAAAGCAACACAGAGCTATTTAAAAGTATCATAAGACAGAGAAAAAAACTTTCACCCAAAACCTTTGGCTGTAAAGATGAACAAAAATTGTCATCTAAACTTATACCATGAATTTTTAAACTGAGGAAAACAATCACCTCTACTAAATAATATCACACTACAGATCAAAGAACTCATGGTAAAGTTKGAGGAAACCTTAGGAAGAGAGAAAACATGACCAACAGAGGCAAAGAGTGGGAATGGGTGATAGGGGTATTAGTAATACAACTAGGAAGAAATGAAAACTAAGGATTGCAGGGAGATTTGACACAGCTCAAAGTAAAGAAAGGGTTACACAGGGCAGGAAAGACAAAGTAAAATTAAACAAATGTTAAGTTTTAAGTATAAAATTAGACAGTGATAGTTGCTGAGAAAAGGCATATGCATAACTTGCTATCCAAAAGGTGAAAATAAAATAGGGCAGAACACTGATTTAGAGAAAAGGAAAAAAAATCTTGAAATTGAAAAAGGAAAAAAACTTGAATCTATACATAAAAGGGACATCATGTCCTATGTCCTAAGGAAAATCAACTCAGAATAGTGAAGAACAAGAATAGTCCAGCAAGGTTTGTATACTTCAAAGATAATAAAAGAATTACTTGAATAGTCATGCAAAAAGTGGTCAAGTTAGCAATGAGGATAATTAAAATTAGTCTTCTTCACAGATATAACCAACTTTAGAAGACAAAGAAAATTCATACAAATTCCCGATGCATCAAAGCATGAGTCTAGAACTGTGTTAATTTGACATTTTTTCCATCAATTTTACATAAATGATCTATTTGATAGGTCATTTGAATAGGTGTTTGTGTTCTGAGTGATAATCTTCAAAATAGCACAAGCTTGGGCTGGGATATAGATMAGTTGGTAGAGTGCTTGCCTTGCATGCACAAGGCCCTGGTTTCAATCCCCAATACCACAAGAAATAAAAATAAATATCATAACCTTCTCAAAACTTGGATCAGATTCCAGTAAAACAAACCCCCCCTCAATCTCCCATTCCAACATCTGTTGCACATGCCAGCTACCGCTACCAAATAACCAACTGTCCTCTCACTTCCAACTATCTTGTAGAGCCCTGCTGGTAAAGGAACCTGGGAAACAGTCTGCAGGGGCTCCCAAAGAAAGGAGCAAAAGTGGTACAGCATTGCCCGAGAAGAGCACAGAATTAGGTCAGCTCCCCACAAAACAGCATAGGCCCCTAAGAGACTTTCTTCCTCTTACTGCTTCCTGATCATTAACCAAAGTAGCATTATCAAGTCAAGATAAATTAGAATAGTTACATCTCAAAATTATATGCCCTTTGATATCTAACTTAAATCCATGTGTAAGATTCATTTTATAACAATAAAAATATCAGTGAAGCCTTAGTTATTCTAAAACTGAGAGCATGTCACCATTATGGTGAACAAATGGAATACAAAAGGGTACTATCAAAGATCAACTATACTCGTCCCTGACTACTCCTGAAAACTCACCATGGCAGCTCCTGTCTCCCTAAAACAGCAAAACCACAGGCAAAAACCAAAACTATTCCTATTATTCCTAACAAAAAGTTACATGGATCCAGAGGATGTTCTCAGCTCAGAATTAACATTACCCAGTCTCGGAGTCAAAACTGAAAACTTCATTTAAAGGCGAGCTTCTTTCTAAACCTGCTTAATTCTGTCTACTTTGAGTCAGAAAACACTGGCAAACATCATGTCTCTTTTGCAAGGATTAGTCTTCTTCCTCTCTTCAGAACCAGTTATGTTCTCCAGGGTTATCGTTGAATCAGAAGAAGGGAGAGTTGAGGGCTACTGCAGAACCCTGCTCCTCTACTCCCCAGCTCTTCTGGTACCAAATGTGGCTTTTTCCATGCAATTCTCTTGTTCTCTGCAGAAACCAAACGTGAATCCTAATATTTAATTCAATTTTAACATCACGCAGATTAAGGGCTCACTCCCACAAGAGTGTTCTTTCATTTTAAATGCCAATTTCAAGCAGTAGGTCACAGGTTACGCCACTTTTATCTGACTTGCTTATAAATCAGGGCTTCCCACAACCCCCTCCCTCAAGTTTGGTAGTTTGCTGTAATGACTCATAAAACTCAGGGGAATATTTTACTATTACTGTTATGAAGATATTACCTAAAAAAAATACATACCAAGAACCAGATAATGAGGAACAGAAAGCAAGGCCCAGAAGGATCTCAAAACCAGAAGCTTCTTGCTCCCCAAAAGTTTAAGATGTGTCACCAACCAGGCACATGGATGCATCTATCAGAAAGTTTGCTTAAACTCTTCATTTAGAGTTTTTATAAAGTTTCCACAGGTGGGGTGATTTAAATCATGCTGTATTTTAATAACTATGTCCTATCCTGAAGCTTTCCAGTCATTTCACTAACTTACAAAAAGACACTATTTTCATACTGGAGATTCCAAAGGTCTTAGAAGCTCTTAAAACACCACCCAGGACTAAGACCAAATACTATAACAAAAGATAGGTGCTCCTATCACCCCMAAAAATTACAATGGAACCAGTGGGCAGAGACCAAATATGTATTTCTTATTTTTAATCACAGTGACACAGCTACCTCTGGGCTGACATGGTGTTTAAAGCCGACATTCTCTCATGGATCGCAGCATAACATATTTGGAGACTTTCTCTCATCACTAGAATCTCACCTGCTTTTCCATTATGTAAGTACTGCCCCTCCAGTGTTTATGATGTCACCTTGCCCTCTTAGAAAACATCCCTTTAAAAATGACCCTAGGMCAATAACTTTGTCATGACAGAATGGTGCTATGTAGGTCTGTTTACTATTTAAGCACCTTTATATTCTAAAACAGAATGTCAGATTTTGTTGAGACAGCTTTTCTGAAGGTTTACTTTTTAAGATTCCCAAATGTTCTAAGGCTTTTAGTTCACTGGGAATGAGACAAGATACTAATGAAGGTTGTCCACTGGTCACCAGGGGCATAAAGCAGTAAGGTCTTTGGAGCAGAAGCTGAGGGATGGAGGAGGCCTCCTTATCAATGTAGAACTTCAAGGGAGGACTTCAGGACCCTCAACAAAATTTATACATATAAATTTATACAAACAGACACCAGCTTCGAAAAGGCCCTCAGGAGACAGCAAGTTATCCAGAAAAGCAGTCTCAGGATCCAGTTATACAAGATACTTCTGTCCTCCAATTTTCCCTCTCCATATCCAACCCATATACACATACACACAAGAGAAATCAGAAGTGAATGAAGCAAATTATGTTCCTAACCAGGCAATACCTACCTCCCAACTCCCTCATAAGGCTGGAAGAACAAAGCAGTTTCTTCCTCATGCTAGCCCCCCAAGTACATGAGAACAGGGATGTAGTGATATTAATCAAACACATAACATTACATGGCAGGCAGTGCACTGGGTATTAACTAATTTTATCCTCATGACAACCCAAAGAGATATTTACTAGTGTCCTATGTAAAGGACAAGAATCTAAAGAATTCAAGCCACTTGCCCTAGTTTATCCATCTAGTGACAAAAAAAAAAAAAATTCTAGCTCTGGCTCAGGAGTCCTGGTTCTTAAACACTACCCTATGTTAAAAGAAAAGTCAAAGTCAAGTTCTAAACAGGCAGGATTGGACTTCCATTAACTAAAAAAAAAAAAAAAAAAAATGGATGGGAAGCAAGCAGACTTGCCCAAGGTGTCCTAAAGAGACAGAAGAACTGATAAACAATTAGGGGTTATAAATGAAAAGGAATAAAATAACTTCATACTGAACACACACTCAGCCTTAGACAGCAAATGGGCAAAATGGGAATTACCAGCATCTACTTTATTCTTGCTGCCCAAAAATTTGTAGTCCAATTGGTTTAGTCAGATTTTGCATTGCTATGATGAAAAGACTTGTAACAACAACACAATTGAGGAAAAGTTTATCTGGGGCTCATGGTTTCAGAGGTCTCAGTCCACAGATGGCAGATTTCATCACTCTGGACCAGAAGTGAGGCGAATATGATGATGGAAAGGTGTGGTACTGGAAAGCAGCTCAGGATGTGGCAACAAAGAAATAGAGAGCTGTACTTACCAGGGACAAAATAAACCCCAAAGGCATACACCCAGTGACCTACTTCCTCCAGCCGTACCCAACCTGCCCATAGTTATGCCCCAGTTAATTCTCATCAGTGGATTAATGCACTGATTAGGTTTAGGCTCTCGTAACACAATCATTTCACCTCTGAACATTCTTACATTGTCTCACACGTAAGCTTTTGGAGGATTCCACRTATCTAAACCATCACAACAATTTTGGAATCATCAACCACAGTCCTAAACTTGCTGAACCATAGCCAGCCTCCATGGAGCCAACCGTTGCCTCTTCTGCCACCTATTCACCAGTCCCCTTTCTTCCAGGACATTTATTCCTATCCTAACTCCACTGCTTTAAATCCTACTTTGACTCCAACCTATGGTGTAGACTCCAACCTATTACCTTTCTGCTTTCTCTGAATCCCCATTCCCTCCATTCTTTGTCTAATTTCAAGGCATTGCCTCCCTCCCACCCCACCCCCACCCCCACCCCACCCTGGTGACCAAGGTTGTGCTACACTATCACCTATAATCCTCAACTCTATCATTTCTATATCTCTAAATTTCCTTTTTGTTTTCCACCCTAGAAATTCTGAATCCATCAGTCTGCCAGTATAAAAGCAGTGTAGAACCTCAAGTTAAAGACAAAATTGGAGGTCAGAAGAGATGGCTCACTCTAAATTTCTGTTCTGAAATCAGCAGGGTGTGTGAGCACTACATAAGAGCTCCCATAAGATCTCCAAGACCCAATGTCAGGCAGACATAACAATTCCCTAGGCTAGACTGTAGCAAAATTTCCCTGAACATTTGATGTGCTTTAGAACATCTCTCTAATACATAAAGCCCCTCGAAATTCTCAGGTTATATTAGCACAGGAAATATTCTTTCTAACGGATCTTCCCCAACCCACTGGCATGAACATGACCACATATTTACACACAAGCACACAATATTTACTATTTTTTAGTAAAATAGGTACAATTTCTAAGAAAATATGTACAAGTTCTGGCTTGTTTAATGCAACTTGAATCAGAGAAAAGATCATCTCAGAAAGAGATCCCCTTGAGCTACTACTGAAATTGGCTTCTGTTTCAAAACCATTCTTCTGAGATGCTCAGTACCCATACTCCCCCCTCAAATATCTTTTGTTATGGCTCAAGCCTGAAATCAGCATGTGGTTCCTAATTCAGGATATGCTTGGGGTGTTTGAATTTACATAAACACTCCAGGAAATCTTTCCTGTTAGGACAGGTACTGACCTCATGGCATATTTTCATTAATGCAACACTAAAAATGCTTTCCTGTGGTGCAGATGCAGCCCTGTCCATTAGAAAGCAGGTCATTTGGCTGCCCTACTGAGCTCCCCTACAATCAGTCAGGGAGAAAGCAGAAATGACTCAGCATATAGCATGGACTAAAATGGGCCAAGAATCTGTTTTCCAAGGCAAATGCCAGTACCCTGATAGCTACGCACTTACACTTTCCGCAGTACCTACAGATAAGCACATCCCAGCCTCATTACAGAGCTATCGATTGCAGCCAAGCACTTGAAATAGGCTTTGTGTTGGGTAAATTGGGTATTTCACTTTCCAAATAAGTTAAATATGCTTCATCATAAATAAAACAGACATTAAAATAAACAAATTGGCAATATCACCTTAATTGTACTACATGATCAATATTGAACACTGCATCCCACAACTCTCTAACAATAATTAGCATTGCCAACTTAGAGAGTGAGAGTTTACAATTTTGCTATGTGAAGATTTCTTAGGCTTAAATGGGGGAGGAGACTAAACCTACCGTTCCTGTGAGCATGTGTCAGTGACAAACATCCTTTGCCTTTATGTGCACACAGCTGGCCCTAAGCTATTAAAACTTTAGGTTCTTGAGTACACTGGCTGTCTCCATTTAATTTTTATGGCATGCAGTGGATTATTCCCTCTGTCTTATAATATCCAAGACAACTCATCTGGTAATATTTTTGCCAGTAGGACGTAACTCAGTTATCACTAAAGTCTGAAAATTTAAATGTCCACATAAAAGGAGTCATTATGCCAGTAGATCTTAAATATTGACACATATGGTTCCACATCTTAAATCTCTAAATACTGTCAATTTATTGAATGTAATGTATGCCCATCAAAAGGAAGGGACTTCCTCTTGAGGGGACAAGTATTTGTTTAGTTCCTTTTTTCCTTTTTTCCTTTTTTTTTTTTTTTTTTTTGACTATTGAGTTGTATGAGTTCCTTATATATTTTGTGTATTAACCTCTTACTGGTTTGTAGATATTGCCTCAGAATTCCGTAGACTTCCTCAGAATTCCATAGACTTTTCATTTTATTGACTATTTTTGCTGTGCTACAACTTTGTAGATAGTTGTAGTCTCACTTGCTTATTTCTACCTTGGTTGCCTATCTTTTAGTGTCATACACAGAAAATCTTTCGCAAGAGCAAGATCATGAAGCTTTCCCCCATTTTCTTCCAGATGTTTTACAATTTCAGGTATTACATAAAGTATTTAATCCACGTTAAGGTGATTTTTATGTATGGTGGAAAAATCCAATTTCATCCTTTTGCACGTGGATACCCAGTTTTAATCACCATTTGTTTAAGAAAACATCCTCACCATTGTATATTCCTGGTGCCTCTGTTGAGGTCAGTTGAATATATATATATGGGTTTTATTTCTGGGCCCTGTTTTCGGCCCCACTATCTATGTCTGTTTTTATTTCATATTGTCTGATTATCATAGCTTTGTAATACAATTTGAGATCAGGAGGTTCCACCTTCGTTGTTCTTGCTTAGATTGCTTTGACTATTTGAGGTCTTTTGTGGTTTCGGATGAATTTTAGGATTTTTCTCTTTCTGTGAAAAATGCCACTGGCATTTGATAGGGATCACACTGAGTCTATAGTTCACTTTGGCTAATATGGAAATATAAATRGCCAAAGGTATTTGAATATTTTATTAGGGATATACAAATCAAGACCACAATGAGGTACCAATTCCTTGTTAGAATGGCTAATAAAAGGTTAGAAGACAGCAAGTATTAAGGGCACACAGAAAAGAGAATATGAATGCAGTCAGTGAGAATGTAAATTGGTATAGCCATTACAGAAAAGACTATGGAGGTTACTCAGTTATAAATACAACTGATGTAATCCAGTAATCCTACCTCTTAATACATATCCAAAGGAAATAAAAATCACCGTCTCAAAGAGATATATGTACTTCTGTGTTCATTGTAACATTGTTCATGAAACAACCTAAAGAGCCTATTAAGAAACAACCTAAAGAGCCTATTAAGAAATTATTGTGTACATATACACAACATTCAGCCTTGAAAAAAAGCAGGCCATTTTTAACAATGAACCTGGAGAACATCAAAAGTGAAATAAGCCAGACACAGCAAGACAAATTAATACTGCCTCACCTCATTTACATGTGGAATACCTCCATATTTTCACTTGAAAAGATACAGGGTGACTATATGGGGTGATTGATAGGTTAATTAGTTTCTTGGTAAGAGCTAAAAGATTTTATACTATTTTACTGGTGCCAGGTAAATATGCACTATAGATGAAGAAAGATTAACTGATTGTCTTCACTGATGGTCACTACATTTCCACTAATGTTATGAGAAAAACAATAACTTACCATTAAAACTTGTCCATTTGGATAAAATAAATATAGCCATGTTTAAATGAAGGAAAAATTATATGAATTCTGAGGCTGACTTCAAGATTACAATTATGTATCTTTATCTATTTGGTTTATTCTCAGCTAATTTATAATTTACTATCTAAATAGGTAATAGACCCTCAGATCACACTAAGCATCATCATCCACAGCAAAAGAGACCAAGTCCCTAGACAGTGTCTCCACCAGGCCTCCCACAAGATGACTGAAACAGAGTTGCTCCCAGCAGCTTTTAGAAATGGTCTGTGAGAACAGGTATACAAACTCCCACTGCCACCACCCTGTCACAATCCTTCCTCTTAYACACAGAGGCTTTCATGTGAGCTTGCACACTTGAAGAAAATTCCCTAAGCTAAAATGGGTGCYTAAGACCTCAGTGAGTGTCAATGGCTTGCTTAAAGTTGCTCTTCTGGTCATTTTCATCCTTTGTTTTCCCTTTTCRTCCCTTTTCCCCCCTCATCACCTTAGAGCAGATTAAGGTTTTGTTTTGTTGTTTTTTTGTTCCCTCTTTCTTTTTTGGTACCAGGGATTGAACTTAAAGGCACTCAACTACTGAGCCACATCCCGGGCCCTATTTTGTATTTTATTGGAGACAGCGTCTCACTGAGTKAGTTAGTTCCTCACCTTTGCTGAGGCTGGCTTTGAACCTGCAATCCTCCTATCTCCTATTCCAAGCCACTGGAATTACAGGCATTCGCCACCACTCCCAGCAGGATAAAGGTATTTACACATAGAGACAATGAAATATCTGACCCTAAAAACCTCTCCTCTCTGTTCCCTTACCAGGATGATTTCTACCCACCAGGATAACTTGACTCACATTTTTGAAGTCAGTTTTTCAAAATGAAAAAATTCAAATCTCAATCAATAGTACAAATATCAAACATTTGAACAGAGGTCCAGTAACAGAACCAACATTTTGTCTCCCTGACTCAGTTTGCCTCTTAACCCTTCTTTCTGAGCCACTCTTCTGCAGTTACCTTGCATTCCAGGGCCATAACAATGATCCATGAAGTATCTTTATGACAAAGAACTGAAACTACCCCCAAAGAACAGTACAAAACAGATCACCCCATGATGAGATGGCCCCCACTAAGCAGGAACAACCAACCCATGATGGAACCAAAGCAGCCACCCTGAGCAGGAACAATCATCTCAGGATAGGAACCAAATTACCTCTCAATGATGACCTTCCCAGAACCAATCCTTTCTGTGAAAAATGCCACTGGCATTTGATAGGGATCACACTGAGTCTATAGTTCACTTTGGCTAATATGGAAATATAAATGGCCAAAGGTATTTGAATATTTTATTAGGGATATACAAATCAATGATGAACCCGACTACAGCCTGACCAGCTGTACTCTCTAGCTATACAAATCCCCCAGCCAAGAATGCTCCCAGCCCTAGCCTTTTTCTGTAAATTCTTAAAGTTTCTATGAGCCCCTTCAAGATAAATCATTGGCCACAGTACTCTTATGTCTGTTCTCAGCATGGCCACACTGATTAAAAGCTCTTTTCCTGCCCTTTACCACTGTTGAGCTCTTTGATTGGCTTATCAGAATAACCTGGCACCATAGGACCCTCAGAGTCAGGGCCTTTGTCCTGGGACTCTGGTAATATTGTCAGCAAATCCATGTTAAACATTCAAAGGACAAAGATTTCAAAGTCATTCTATTTTCCTTTGTATTATTAAAAATGTTACATTGCCGACATATTAAGATACTTATGTTTGACATTAAAATTTTCTAAAAACTTCTCCTTCAAACAAAATTGTATAGGATTGCTTAAATATCATTTCAAAGAATGAGCATGCCTGTGTTAGTAGCAGTTATACCAYACACATGTACTATACCATACAGGAATACTAGGAAATATATACAAAGAGCTCAAAATTTTTTTCTACAGCACTTTGTATATAATGAAGTGTCTGAGAAAGAAATGATTTAAAAGGTATAACAGGAAATTATAAGTTTATTAAAATAGGCCTCAKAAGCCTTTCATGATGTTAAAAAAAATTTTCCACTCAGCACGGATGACTGACAATTTTTATCATGAACAAACCAAAGCCCAATATAAACAGTAAATTGAAACTAGAAACTATCAGGTGTAAACCACTAACAAACCTCTAAAACTAGGAATTTCCAATTCTAAACAATCAAAATTGTTTTAATTGTGTTTTTACAATCAMCTTATGAATTTTCCCTTCCTGCCCATCCTGAAGGAGGATTAGCTGCTTTGGGACTGGTGTTGCCCTGATTTACTAACAGCTGAATGCTTAAACTCTTGAAAACTTAAGTGTGCTTAAGTTTGTCTTCTTTTCTGAATCAGTAGATAACCCAAGTAGGACTCAATTGTAATGTACGATGTTTTAAACAAAAATGCCAATTCTGAGTAGAAAATGAGAAACATATCCACAATTATACCATATATAAGCTTAGAAAGCTAAACACGATGCTCGAAATGTTAACTAAAATTTGATACTAAACCCAGATGTGATACATRGAATTTAAAATCATGATTATCTTCTAAAACAAAAAAAAAATATTTGGAGAACAAGAGAATTTAATTTCTACCTTCAACTTTTAAAGAGCTCTAAAATGAATAAACAGTACTGAAAATCCTATTCCTAAAGAACAGGATATTTAAAATAGAGTTTATAAGTGACATGCATAGACACTTGTATCACTTGAGGACAGGGTACATTCTGAGAGTTGTATCATTAGGTGACTTCTTCTTTGTATGATCATAGTGTGTTTATAAACTAAGACAACAGTGATACAATCTTATGATTCCTCTGTTCTATATGCTGTTATTCACCAAAATTTTGGTGAACATAAGCATGACTGCTTACCAAGCCTAGGGGTAGGTGGATCAAGGTMCATGCATTGTGGAGCTGACTTCTCTTTCCTCTCCTGTGTGCTGGTTATACTTTCAAGTGGGCTTTCCCAAAAGGACAAGGAAGACATTAATGAGAACTCCAAGCCCCATAGATGACCAGTTCAGTAGCCCCAGCAGACAGTGACACCTTGCCCAGTGAGGATCCAGRGTTCTGGTTTAGCCAGCCAGGAATCAGAGATGGCCCTGTTCGATTTAAACCACATGAACCAAGGGCAAGCAAGATGTCATGGTCTAGACATGGATGTGTCCCCAAAAGCTAATGTGTGAGACAATGCAAGGGGAAAAAAAAATGTGGAATGTTTTCTCTGATATAAGGAGGCTGACTCAGTGAGGTAGGGAGGGGGAGCATAGAAGGAATGCATGAATTCTAGATAGGGAAGAGGGGTGGGAGGGAAAGGAAGGGGGCAGGAGATTAGCAAGGATGGTGGAATGTAATGGACATCATTATCCAAGTACACATATGAAGACAAGAATTGGATGTCAACAAACTTTATATACAGAGATATGCAAAATATTGGTATATATGTGTAATAAGAATTATAATGCAAAAAAATAAAGCATCTCACTACTTAAAAACAGCAAGTTCTTAATAAAAAAAAAGAATCTTCAGAGGTGAAGTTATTAATTTATGAGAGCCTAAACCTAATCAGTGGATTAATCCACTGATATGGATTAACAGAATGATAACTACAGGGTTTTTTTTGGTGGGGGTGTGGAGAATGTGGGAGGAATCATATCACTGGGGCCATACTTTTGAGGTTCATTTCTTTTTCTCCTGATGAGCAGAGCTCTCTTCCTGGTTGTTAGTTCCTGATTCACTTCCCTTCTACCATGATGTGCTGCCTTATCTGGTCCTGGAGCTAWGGAGTCKGCCAACCATGAACTGCACCTCAAAAAATGAGCCAAAATAAACTTTCCCTCCTCTACATTGTTYTTGTCAGTCTTTTGGTCACAGCAATGAAAAAGTGGACTCAAATACAAGGTATGATCTTTYACAGAGAAGCCAGGTCCTGCTACCATCAAACAAGCAAAACAGATCTGATTCCCCCTACAATTCCTGGATATCAAACAATAAGAAGTGCCAGATGACAGAAACCAATCTCCTACATCTGTCAAGACAAAACAAAACCTTCATTCAGCCACAGAATATAGACAAGTCTGYTGTTTGGGATCTTTTGGTTTGTTTTTTTGCTAACAGCCTTGAGATATAATTTATGTGCCACACAATTCATCCACTTAAAATAAACAATTCAACGCGTTTTAGTATATTTATAGAGTAGTACAGAYACCACAATCAATGTTAGATCATTTAAACTATTTCAAGAAGAAATTCTRTTCCCATTAGAAATCATTCCCCAACCCTCCCCTTTCCACAATCGCTGGAAACCAGAAATCTGTTTTTATTGTTGCTGATATACAAAAAAATTATATACACATAATGTGTACAACTTGATGAGTCTTGAAGACACTGTCACTGTAATCAAGGTAATACACATATTCATCACTTCTAAAAAAAGTCTTCATGCTTTTTTATTTGTTTTGGGGGAGGAGGATTGTTAGTAATAAAGCCAGATTTAAAGATAGGTAGTTAGTGTAGCTAGGTAAATCGGGTCTGATATGGAGTCWAATAAAGAAAATGGAGTYCAATCTAAACCCAGGAAATCAGCACTACACCTTGGAGATTGAAATGTTAATGGCCCCAAGGCCCTGGCCCATTCCAAAGAATTGTAATGAAGCAGCTCCCAGCAAATAGGGAGGTGCTAATCAAATCATCCTAAGTCCTTCCTACCGAGATCATTCCTCTCCAACCTCATCTGTTTTCCACCATTTGGCATTCCCACCTGCATCCCCTATCACATGCTATATAGAGGRAAAAAAGCAACAAAAAGAACAGAAATGTAGAAGGACAAAAGAAGACCTTAGATACAAAAGGGATAAGACCTCCCCTTCCCATGGATTACACCTTTTAGATCCCCTTCTTCCTCTGGGGGGATATCTTCTCTGCGATCCTTTAATAAAGCCTTTTACTTTACACTCTACACTTGCCTCAGAGTGCTTCTCTGGTGTTATACTTCAGCTTTCAGGGAAGCAAGGACTCATTAGGGTAACCGGTCGTATTAGTAACAACATTTAATATGAGCTCTATCGTCCTAAGAAAAATCTTAGGTGCACAATACAGTATTGTTAACCTCAGGCACAGATCTCTAGAACTTACTCATATGTCAAACCTCAAGCTTTATCACCATTGAACAGTGCCTCATTTCTCTTGCTCCAGCCCATTCTASTCTGTGCATTCATAAGTTTGATTATTTTGGATACCACTGATAAGTAGGAAATGCAAACCTCACCTTCTCATATACCACCTAAAGGCATAGATTTAGGGAGGTGCCTCTATCCACAGCTRTAAACTGAATGGCCTGTCTACAAGAATAAAGTCTGACAAGAAATGAACTATAAAACTGAATTGGCTATCAATTACAAATTACATTGGCCAAGACATTTTTTTTTCCTGGTGCCTTTAACTGTAAGTTACATTATTTAACTTCTATTGTGACTTGTCTTTGTACCTGTTTTAGGACAAGAACTATGTTTGACCCACTATTTTTATTGATGTAACACTGTTTAGTACACTATCTTAGAATTACTTGTTATTTAATAAATATTTATTAATCTGTCTTGTTCTTCAATATTCCAAGAGAGAATTATGTTTTTCCTTTTTTGGTTCTCATCATTAAACATACAAATAAGAGAAACCATCTGGGGAAAGGAGGTTTTGTCCATGTATTCATAGTCTCATTTTTGAGAATTACTTAGGTTTTACTCAGAAAACTAGAATGATTTCGTCAACTCRCCCATTTGTTGCTTAGAAGTTTGGTGGTTGCTTACAATACAAATACAAAAATTGAATTTTGAAGACAAATCATGCTTATTTGCTTTTGTTGATAAGTGACTTTACAGCATTCAGATCAAAAAGCAAATTGTAGTTATTTGCTGTAAGTAGCTTCCATTAAGATAGCACAACTATAAAACATTTTGTCTTTCATTTTAGTCAAACTCCTTTAAAATATATACCTAACACTGAAAGACATGGTTTTATTATTTAGCAAATTCTTTGTACTCTTTTGCAGATGCTTCATTATGCTTTTCTTAAACTAACTGCTACCATTTCCTCTTTTGAATTTATCATGTGAGAGCTAACATTCTGCTTTTAAGAGATCAAGTTTAGATCAATGAGTATGTCTAATTCTAAAACATTTGTAGAAATTGAGGCTACATTGAATGATCAAGTATATCACATACATTTTTCCCCAAAATCAGAAAACGTTTATAGCAAGGAAATCAAAATGCCTGTGAGTCTATACTCTTAATAAAGGTTGGACTTCTCATGCCAATCTACCAATAAGACACCATTGCTGCTTAGAGCATTGATAGCAATATTAACATAAGCCTCAGTGGCCACACCCATTTAGAGCCCAAGAAAGGGAGGCATCTGTCCCCAGAGCTCCCCCTGTACCATTTTGAAACCTCATCGTAAGTTAGTTCTCAATTCAAGGCATTGGATATGGGGAAGAAAATGAGAAGCTCCTGGTACCAGTTTAAGGGAGGAACTAAGAAGGGAGTTTATTTTATTTATTTTTATGCTGAGGATCAAATGAAGGGCCTCATATGTGCTAGGCGAGTGCTCTACCACTAAGCCACAACCCAGCCCAAGAAGGGAGTTTAAATGCATCAAATACTTCATATCTTCTACTTAGGGCAACTCTGCCCCTTTATTTATATCTATAAAAAGAAATCACAAGGGCTGGGGATGTGGCTCAAGTGGTAGCGCGCTCGCCTGACATGCGTGCGGCCCGGGTTCGATCCTCAGCACCACATACCAACAAGGATGTTGTGTCCGCCGAGAACTAAAAAATAAATAAATAATAAAAAAATTCTCTCTCTCCTCTCTCACTCTCTCTTTAAAAAAAAGAAAAAGAAAAGAAATCACAAGTCAGGCACAATGAAACACACAGTAATCCCAGTGACTCAGGAGGCCCAGGGAGGAGGACCCCAAGTTCAGAGCCAGCCTCAGCAAAGGCAAGGCACTAAGCAACTCAGTGAGACCCTGTCTCTAAATAAAACACAAAAAAAGGACTGGGGATATGGCCCAGTGGTTGAGTGCCCCTAAATTCAATCCCCAGTTACCACACGCCCCCACAAAAAAAGAAATCATGAATAGCCAAAGCACAATTGGGGGCAGTAGTCAATGAAACAAAGTATCTCTACGATACCACATGAAAAATGGCAGTACCATCATATCTAGTATACATTTTAAGTTTCTTTCCAATAGAATACTATATGGAGTTTTAAGAATTTATATAGACAGGTAAGCATAAATATTTCAAAATACTTTGATTTGCCCTAGAAACATTTTTACATTTAGCTTCTCCATTTTCTTCCCTTTACCAGATTGTTTCACTTATTATAGTCCAGTGCATTTTTCTGCACCAGTAAGTTAAGCAGTTRACAAATGCAATTTGGTTATTAAAAATCTTATGTTCCCTTGATTATATTAGTCTCCAACCCATAATTCTACTTAGTRTTTAAATAAGTTTGATTAAAATTCTAAGGGTTATAACCTTTAAAACATATTATTTTCTAAACATCAGTAAGTACAAGTGACTTAAACACCTAGTCCACTTTTAAAACATCAGCAAATGCTTCCAATGAACAGCCAAATATSATGAAAAACGATGATCAATTCTATTCTCCAACACTGTTTTGTGTAAAAATGAATACAATCTCCTGATTTATTTCTTAATATCAAGGAATACAGCATTTTACAGTAGAGCATTCTRATAGGCAAGAGAAAAAGGAACCAAGTTATTTGAAGCACATTCTATTCCATATGGCTTTTCCCAGGAGTCCTGAATTTGGAGAAGCCTGTTCACTTAGGTGGTTTCTAACASCTTTGAGAAGTTGATGCATAAAGAAGTGTCCTAAGAAGCCTTTTAAAGTTTTAACATCAAGTACTTTGCCTTTACCTCTATTTGCTGCAGCCAGAATATAAATGAAATCTGAAATTTATTCACTGTGGTCCAAGAACTCTAGTAATATGCATTGTATGTTAATAGATGCAGCACAGACCATGTGGCCTATAAAACCTAAAATATTATGTGGTCCTTTACAGAAAGTTTGCCAATTTCTGTGCCAAATTAAAGTAGAAGACTTTTTAAGATCCTCTCTCTGCTTCATTGTTCTGTTAAATGTTGATGTATCATGTTAATGGGTAGTCAAAAGTTTCAGCATTTAAATTGTATAACTGAAATTCTTCTAAGAACCAACAATTTCCTATAACCTCACAAATTCACACATCTCTCTCCACACCCCCTCAAGACGCGCGCGCGCACGCGCACACACACACACACACACACACACACACACACACACACAGTTTGCACACAGCTCTTCTCTTCTGTAGGTAAGCCTACCTTTTAGGGACCCTATGTAGATTTCACAAGACTAGTATATGACCATAAGGAGCTATCTCAGGTATTTCCAATTACTTATGGAAATTAGACAATCAGCATTTTAAAGTCTGTTTTTCATCCAGCAGCTAGCAAATACAGCTTTCAGTTTCAGTCACTAATTTCACTTGAAGAGAATAAAGTAGACCAATTCATATTTTTCTCCATGGGAGAARATTTCTTGGCCAGCAAACCCTTAGAAAACAAGTGACCAACACTAAAATAGAGAAAGAACGCTCTAAGGACTGAGATAGCACACTGAGAAGGAAAWTGTGGAAGAGTTGTTTATCATCTTTCCATATTGCTGTAGCTGAGAAGTTGAGAAACTCCTACAGCTGCATATGAGTCCATCTTTCTACTGATATTTCTTCCTTATTTTCTCTTTGTATTTCGGAAGAAGAGAGTGGAACCAACTACAAGACAGGAAAGAAAGCAATGGAGAAAGAAAAGCTTTGGATTTGATCTGTTTCTGCTTCCACCCTATCTCAATGCGGTTGTGGCATTTTGCTGTGGCATAAATGATTAATTCAGCATCAAGTAACATCACACAGAGCTACAAAATCTRGTAGAGATTTCAGCCATGTGCTTTATGTAGTCTCACTAAAGACTAACCCAGGAACAATGCGGTGGAAACCAAAAAAAAAAAAAAAATCGTACTGTTTTTAGACTGGAATGTGGATAAATATGCAAATTTGAACTATAGGTCAAGGTTATCAGTAGTTGGATTATAGTTTAGGTCAGGGCAGGAAGAAAACAGATAAAAGAGGTATAGGACATAAAGAATGTTTTAGATGAACTACTCCAAGTGCAGCAAGATTTTCAGGAGAAAGGACCTCTGCCTGTAGCAACAAGGCAGTCTTTGGGGACCTTAGATGAGTTTCTTTTCACATAGCGAGGGGGAAGCTGGGTATGCATACCCATGAGAATATAAGAAAGGACAAAGATAAATAAAACAATAAAGCTCAAGGATAGAGACCCAAGACTCCTTCTCCTCCACCTCTCATTCTTTCTTATCCCTCTAAAAATACAGCAGCCTGAATAAAAAGCAGAAATTAAAACAAAACCAAAGAGGAAGTGAGGCAGGATGGAAGGAAGATGGAGAAAATGGAGGGAGAAGAGGAGGAGAAAGAACATGACCAACACTGAGGGAAACACTCAAATGAAACACAGGGTACTGGCTGGAAGGCAGGTGTTGGGAAAGTTAGAGAGAATGCTGGTGAGGTATGAAGAAGAAACAGGACAAGGACAGAATCAAGGCACAAGTGGAGGGATCATACTGAACAAGAGAACTGAACTGAGAAGAAACTATGAAGAATTCATCCCCAAAAGGAAACCGGGTTGGGAGACACAGGCAAAGCTGAAAGATCAATGTCAGGGCAGAGAGGTGCAAAATGCTAGTTAGTGTCAAAGACACAGGAAATGTGCAACTGCCTTACATCAYTTAAAAATTTAAAAAGGAAAGCAATACGTTAACTTCTAAGAATCTAGTCTCTGGTGGGAGG